AGCAGGAGGTGGGGACAGCCTCTGTCATTTCCCACCACTGCCCCTTGTTCCAGACAGTCCTGGCCTTTGTGCACAGACATTTTGGGATGAAGTTATTACAAAGGAAGATGAATTTTCATTGTCAGGAGGACGCTGCCAAGTGAAATATTCCACTTTGTGCTTTTATGTTTATTCACCACCGTGTGGAACGTCCTCTCCGAGGCCTGAAAGTCGTGCTCGTGGCCTTTAATATCCGGAAAATATTGATTTATTAAAAAACCCGAGTTTCAACCAGACCTCAAATTATAAACGATGTTTTATTTTAACAGCTCTGACTGTTAGAACATAAATCCTCAGCCCCAAGAACTCTCCTAGTAACTAAATAAATATTTGGCTACTGAACTTTGATAGCATTTCCCACTGGGTTTGGTTTAATTTTGTTATTTAATAACAAAAAAAAGCCAGAACAGAGCAAGTGTTGTCACCAAGGTATGGAGAAGGCAAAGTCTGGGTTACAGGAATATTAAAGCTACCTGGAGTAATTTGGTTTTAATTGTTAACTGATTGTATAACCGTAATTATCCTTCTGGATCCAAAGGATCTGATGGAAAGCTGAGGGAGGAGTTTGAAGTCCTGCTCTAGAGCAGAGTTGGAAGCCACAGGAAGGATTTCAGTCACCCAGAGAGGCTCTGCTGCCAAAAATGATTTCATGGACATAAAACACTGTGACTTTGTTCAGCACCAGCAAATTCACCTTGTGAAATTCCCAGAAAAAAAAAATACCAAAAGTCTGAGTGATTTTCAACTCCCAGGAGAGCTCAGCTGCCCCAGTCCTGGGGGCAATCCTTCCCTCAGGATTCTGCTCCAAATTCCCAAACCAAACTGCAGAAATTCCCTGTGTCCTCACCACATTCCCCTGAGGCCTGGGATCCCCTGGAGCTCTGTGGGTTTTTATTCCATGCTTTTCCTTTTCCAGCTCCAAATTCCCAAACCAAACTGCAGAAATTCCCTGTGTCCTCACCACATTCCCCTGAGGCCTGGGATCCCCTGGAGCTCTGTGGGTTTTTATTCCATGCTTTTCCTTTTCCAGCTCCTCAGCTGTCCCCCTGAGACAGCAGGGGATGCTCAGGATTTGTCCAACACACGGGATTGAATTCCAGGGATGCTGGGCAGGAGGAAGAGCTCAAACCAAGAGCTGTTGGAACCCAGGAGAATTTGAGAATTCCAGCCTCTCTGTGCTGCAGGCTCTGAGCCCCAGGAGAACTCTGCACTGAGCTGAGGCCCTGGAGAAGCTTCCAGAATGGAATGGCAGAGCTGGGATTGTGGCTGTGCAGTTTGGACATAATATAATATAATATAATATAATATAATATAATATAATATAATATAATATAATATAATATAATATAATATAATATAATATAATATAATATATATGCCTTCTAAGAACAAGGAGTCAGCTTCTCAATTCCTCCTCCATCTGGAGAACCCCAAAAATACCACAGTTAGTTTTGTGTTACAAAATTGTATAAAGGTATGAAAGTTAACGGTATATGGTATTATTACTAATATTTTTAAAACTGGGTTTTAAATTTTTAAACAGTATTAGTAATATAAGTTGAATCCAGCTCTTTTCCCAGTGTTTTTCCCTCTCCAAGGCAGAGCTGAGAACATTTTTGGGGTTCATCAGCAGCACCTCTGCCCGGGGGATGAACTGTGGGGTGCTCCAGAGATGAGGGCAGCCTCTTCCCAGCCTCCAAAACCCAACTCCAGCAGCAGAGTTGGGCTTTGTTCCCTGCCTCCCCTCACTTCTGTGCTTTGGAATGGGAGCAAATCCACTTTGTTCTGATTCTTACTTTATTTTTTTTCTTTTAGTTATTTTTAACAGAATTTTTTTGTACCCTTTTAAATGTTTTAAACCCACTTTGCCTTTCTCCTAATCCTATCTCACAACGTGAAAGAAGCACACTAATAATTAACCAACACCAAAGCCCACCACACTCATCAACACACGAGCGAGAAAATTTAAAAACTGAAAAAATCTTGAATTAGCAAACCAAAACCACTGCACTGACCAAGCTCTGAGCTCCTCTAAAATGCTCCAGCAGGTTCCTCTGGCTGCCCAATCCCACTGGAATAATAAAAATTCCCAATTAATGGGAATAATAATATATATAAAATAAATAAAATAAAATAAAATAATAATAATAATAATAATAGTAATAAATTCCAAATTAATGGGAGTAATTCCTAATTAATAGGAAATTCTGCTGGTGCCTTCTGACATCTCACTCAGGAGACAGTGAAAAGTTAAAACAACAAAATCAATCTCTGTCCACAGGCTGAGGATTATTTTTTGCAAAGATTTTTTTTTTTTTGTTTGGATTCTTTTTAGTTAAATGAATGAGTTACAGGAAAGCTGGGGAGGGAAGGAAAGCTGGGCATGGATCTCTTTTGCTTCCAGGGGACAAAAACTGCTGGTGAACTTTCAGGATTTGCTCCAAATTATTGGAATAATTTTCCAATATTCATTAAGGGATGCTGCTGAGTAGTTCCACGTCCAAAAAAGAACATTTCCCCAAATTTCATCAGGCTTGAGCCTTCTTTTCCAGGAAGGGATGTGTAGTCCTGCCCTGCTAGCCAAGAATTAGGGCACATGAACACCAAATATTGAAATTTTAAACATCACAGAGGTTAAAAGTCCTGCTTTGGGTGAAAATAATGAAAATGAAATAATAATGAAGCGAGCTCTCCCATTCTCTGCTACCCAAGGATTCCACAGGAGCTGCTTCCCTTTGGCTCCGCTGCAATGTCCAGGCAGAATTCTTCCCAATCCATCAGCAGTGCCAGGAGAAAGCAGCAGCAGCACTGCAGAAATCATGTTCCTTTGTATGAGGAGAAAAGGCTGGGAAAAGGCTGCTTGAATGGGAAGAGGATGACAAAAAAAAATAAAATTGGACGAGCAATTAATTTGATTTTGAAGCTTTCAGGAGGGATCTATTCAACCAGCACCCATCCTGCAGGAAGTTTCTAAGCCATCAATTGGCTAAATCTGGCCCAGACCAATTATTAAGATTTAAATGAATGCCCCAGGAGCATTCACGTGGCACTGGGAGGAACTGGGGCTCAGCAGATGATGCTCTGTGCAAACAGATGCTGAGAAAAGATCTTTGTCCTGAGAAAAAGCCACAGCACAGGAGCTTTTCCCAGGAAATTCAGTGTGGATGAATTAACAGGCTTTTCCCAAGGGCTTGCCATTGGAGCTCCTCTGATCCAGTGTCACAAAATGCTTCAGTGAATGGCCAGGAGAATGGAATCAATGGGATAAAATGCACATTTTGGGATGAAAATGTTGCTTCTGTCAGCATCAGGCCGAGCTCGGCCATCCGTTTTTGCCTGGCCAGGAATTTCCACTCAGCCAGCAGAGCCCACTGGGGCTTTGCTGTCCCAAAATGATGGATCAGGAACCACAGGGAGAGCCAGGAGGGGCTTCCCAGGTGGGGAAATGAAGGATAAATGTGAAGGCAGGTGAGGACTGAATTAAATTCAACTCAGGGACTGCACAGAGACCTCAGGGGCTCTGCAGCCTCTCCCTGGTGCCCTGGGGATGTTTTAAAATCCCTGCCCAAGCTGCAAACCCTTCCGTGACCCCACAAATCCCATCCCCTCCAGGCTGCACCCTCCCTGTCACGGGGCTCCCAGGCAGGGAAGGAGGAAAACGACAATCTGGGCAAATTGGACTTGTTATTTTCAACAGCTTCTCCTCCTCCTCCTCCTCCTCCACTTTTACAGCCAAGTGCCAATCAAGGAAGTGATGAATGGGGATGGGAACGTGCAGCCTTTGGAATCTCACAGGAGCTGAGCCATTCCCAGCGTGCAGGGAAGGGGAATCTGCCTCCTTCCAGGCTTTCTCTGGCATGAAATGTAGGAACAACCTGGTTTGGGCACAGGGAGTTGTCTCCAAAAGAATTCCTGCTGGAAATATTGGAATTTTTTATTTGCTCCTCTGAGTTAGTTCCTGGAGTTGGGGTTGGGGAAACTCCACCATGGTCATGGCTCAAATGAAACATTCCTTTGACAGCACTGATTTTGGGAATTCCTGCCCAGAACCACCTCCTTTAGGTCAGAAAATGCTGCTCCCTTCGTCACGTGGCTGATCAGAGCAGCACCAGCCAGCAGGACAAGGATTCACCTGGATTCAAACAATCCTTTCCTTCCCCAATCCCAGGCACTTCCTTGGCTTGGGTCACAAAGACAACTCTCCAAATGGCTTTGTCAGAACAACAGAGTGAGCAGAAATTGCACCAGGAAAAGCTTGGGTTGGATATTGGGAACATCTGGATATTGGATTTGGGGCATTTCTTCCCAAAAAAAAGGCTGCCCAGTGCAGTCCCCAGCCCTGGAGGGATTTACAGCCATGTGGAGGTGGCACTTGGGGACATGGTCAGTGGTGGCCTTGGCAGGGCTGGGAATGGTTTGGATGATGTCCAAAGCCTTTCCCATTTCCCAAATGATTCCATGATTCTCCTGTGGACACGACTGTGGTTGTGTTCGAGGGTCCCAGGATGAGGGAGGAGATGAGAATCTTGACTCCATCTCTCAGAAGGTTTATTTATTATATTATGATATTATATTATATTATATTATATTATATTATATTAAAATGCTATACTAAAACTATACAAAAAAGAATAGAGAGAAAGGATCCATCAGAAAGTTAGGAAAGCATGGAATGATAATAAAATCTTGTGACTGCTCACAGCCTCGACACAGGTGGCTGTCATTGGTCATCAAATAAAACCAATTTCACATGCTGGGCAAACAATTCTCCAAATCACATTCCAAAGCAGCAAAACATGGAGAAGCTGAAGCTTCCCAGCTTCTCAGAAGAATCCTAGCAAAAAGATTTTTCATAAAATATTTCTGTAACACACGGCAGCCGTGAAAACGCCGTAAATTCCTTCCTGCTTTTTGCTGCTGCTCTCCTTGAAACCCATTCCCCGCTTCCCACCATTTTTTACCTTATGAAATCCTCCTCCTCCTCTCTCTTGGGCCTCAGCTGCTTGGGCTGAGCCATGTTGCTCCAGTTGGGCAGGGATTTCAGGAGCCTGCTGATATCATCATCCTTGGCCCAGGAGGCGCTGATCACCAGCTTCTCGTCCGACTGCACGATGCCCCTGCAGGGAGAGCAGCCAAAACCACTCAGGGAGGGGCAGATCCTGATCTGGGGACACCTCTCATTTAATTCTGTGTTATTAATTGTATTCCATGTCACACGTGGGGACTGAGCAGTGAGGGAAGGATACAGAGAGGAATTCCACACGAATTCCTGATCACCAGCTTCTCGTCCGACTGCACGATGCCCCTGCAGGGAGAGCAACAACCACCTCAGGAGGGGCAGATCCTGATTCTGGGGACACCTCTCATTTAATTCTGTGTTATTAATTGTATTCCATGTCACACGTGGGGATTGAGCAGTGAGGAAAGGATGCAGAGAGGAATTCCACACGAATTCCTGATCACCAGCTTCTCGTCCGACTGCACGATGCCCCTGCAGGGAGAGCAGCAACCACCTCAGGAGGGGCAGATCCTGACCTGGGGACACTTTTCACTTAATTCTGTGTTATTCATTGCATTCCATGTCACACACGTGGGGATTGAGCACTGAGGAAAGGATGTAGAGAGGAATTCCACACGTGGATGGGACAGGGTAGGAAATTCCCTTAACACACAACTCCTGATGGACTTTGAGACATCTTCTGAGGGAAAAGGGGCCAATTTCCCAAATTCTGCATCTCCAGCTAAATCCTATGTGGGAAACTGAGTCAGGGACTGCAGCGGGGAAGAATTTCTCTGTTTTTGGCAGGGTAACTGATCTGAATTCCTGACTGGGGATTTCAGGAGACAAATGGGATGCTGTATTTGGAGGATGCAATCCAGGGCCTTAAAGATTCTAATTTCCAACCCCTGCCATGGCAGGGACACCTCCCACTGTCCCAGGGTGTTCCAGCCTGGCCTTGGGCACTGCAGGGATCAGGGGCAGCCCCAGCTGCTCTGGCAATTCCAGCCCAGCCAGCAATTCCTCATGGCCAAGATCCCATCCATGGCTGCCCTCTGGCACTGGCAGCCATTCCCTGGCTCCTGTCCCTTGTCCCCAGTCCCTCTGCAGCTCTCCTGGAGCCCCTGGAATGTGCTGGAAGCTCTCCCTGGATCCTTCTCCTCTCCAGGGAACATTCCCAGCTCTCCCAGGCTGGAATGGACTGAGCCAGCAGAGACTCTCCCACACCCCAGCACCCCCTGACAGGGACCTGGCAGAGCCATTCCAGCCTCACTCTCCCAGATCCAGGCTGGAATTCTGGGGCAGAGAGGAGGTGTCAGCAGCATTCAGGTGGCGATTTGGGGAATAAATAGAAATAAAAACAACAACACCACCCCGAGCATCTGCGTTTTGCGAAGGAAAACAGGAGAAAGGCACCGAGACAGGAGCCAGCTCTGAGCCACCCTGAAGGGAACAGCTCATTTCTCATCCCACCCCTTCCCCATCCACCAGCAAAACAAGCTCAGCTCAGGAACCACACGGCATTTGTGAAAATGAATTTGTCACACGCGCTTCCAGACAAATTCCCCCTTCCCTCTGAGTTCCATGTTCAATCTGTCACACACAAAAGGCTGAGTTTTGTTTCCAGCCACACGAGACCTCAACATTCCTGTTGGGCCTTCTGCTGCTGGGAGGGAGGCGGTGTTCTTCCACTCGGGGGAAACAAAAAATTAAAAAAAAAAAAAAAAAAAAAAAAAAGTATTTTATTTTTCACCCCGGTGAAAACTGAGGGGGTTTAAAGAGCTCCACCAGCAGCTCTGATATCCGAGATGGAAAAAGGGGATTTGATGCTATCTGGGCATTGCTGTGCCAAGGCAAGACAAGGGAAGACATCAGCCAGGGCTTTGTCCTCTGCACATTTCAGTGACTGCAGCAATCCTCTCCTTCCCTTGGGAGTCCATTTCACACTTGAACAAATCCAACTCTTGGATAAAAAACCTCCTGCTACCGAGCTCGTGTTTTATTTCCCTCAATTTCATCCCATTACTCCCCGTTATTTCCCCTCTCAGCTCAGCTCTCTCCACGTCCACTGTTTGCTCTCCTCAATTATTTCCAGCCTTATCGTGGCCCTTCGGATGCCCAGGACTCCAGGGCATCTTTGGGAGTGTCCTGATGGAGTCACACAGAGCCACCTCTCTGTTTTATGATCCTTATCATCCTCAAAACCCCAATTGCTTGTGGATTTGCTGGGGAGGATGAATGCTCTGACAAGCTGCAAACTCAGCCTGCTGTCCTCGCTTTTCCAGGGGCAGAGTTTTCCAAGAGCCCAATCCATGATTCCAGCTTTCCTCACCTTCTGGTGGTGAGGAAAAATCCCAATTGTTTGTGGATTTGCTGGGGAGGAGTGGGGGGAGGATGTTGGGATGCTGTGACTGCAAACTCGGCCTGCTGTCCTTGCTTTTCCAGAGTCAGAGTTTTCCAAGAGCCCAATCCACCATTCCTGCTTTCCTCACCTTCTGGTGGTGAGGAAAAATCCCAATTGTTTGTGGATTTGCTGGGGAGGAGTGGGGGGAGGATGTTGGGATGCTGTGACTGCAAACTCGGCCTGCTGTCCTTGCTTTTCCAGAGTCAGAGTTTTCCAAGAGCCCAATCCACCATTCCTGCTTTCCTCACCTTCTGGTGGTGCCCCTGGAATCCTGGAATGGTTTTGGTGGGAAGGGACCTTAAAGCCCACCCTGCCATGGACAGGGACACCTCCCACTGCCCCAGGCTGCTCCAGCCCTGGCCTTGGACATTCCAGGGATCCAGGTGAGTGGACAAGATCCACGGATCCACTGAAACCAGCGAGCTCCAAAGTAATCCAAGGAACAGCCCAGCATTGCCTGGACCCCTTGGAATTACAGCCCCACTCTTTCCCAAGGCTCCAGCACCTCCTGATTTTTCCTGGCGTTGGTTTTACCCCCTCATCAAGAAGATGCTGAAGAGGCTGGAACATCCCCAATCTCTGTTGGACACCTGGCTTTTCCCAACTCCTTTTTCCCACATTTTCCTCCCAGTTTCTCAGCCAGGGTTCCCCCTCTGGACCTTCAATCCCATTTGTGTCCTTGAGTGAATTACCCCAGGACAGGGTGACATCTTTCAGTACAGCTCTGAACTCTTCCTTCCACTCCCCTTATCCCAAACTCCTCCATAATTTTCCTGCTGCTGCCACAGGGAGCTGACCTTGGCTGGATCCAGGTGCCCACCAAGCTGCTCCATCCTCCCCAGAGGACAGAGGCAGGAAAAATGATGGAAAAAAACCCTTTAATGGTGGAGCTCCATCCTCCTCAGAGGACAGAGGGTGGAAAAATGATGGAAAAACCCCTTTTATTGTGGAGCAGACACCATAAAATACGAAATATCAGTCTGGAACAGCTGTCCTGGGATATGTCTTTCCCAAAATCCTTCCCGTTCCCAGCCTGCTGGTGAGGGAGGGACAGCCCTGACGCCGTGGCCAAAATCCTGGTGTGTGTCCCACCTTCCCAGGTACCAATCCTGCACTCTGAGGAATCATTTCTCTTCTGGGAAATCATATGGGAATACCCCTGGACACAGCTGGGGGCTGTGGCTTTCCAGCAGGAAACATCTGGAAGCCACAGGGGATAATTGGGCTCCTCTGCCTTGTGCCAGGTGGATTTTTTGGGATGATTTTTCCCTTTTCCCACGGCTAAGGTGATGTTTCCATGCTGAGCTCGGGCTGCCAAGGTTTAAAAAGCAGCTGGGCCAGGCACCCACAGCCTGAGGAAACACCTTTGGCCCAAAAAAGAGTCAAAAAGGCAACTTAAACCCCGAAAGTTCATGGAAGGAGGGGAAGATGCCACTAAGAAGCAGCAAAATGAGTGGTACAAGCATTTCCTGGGGAGTCAAAAGTTCCCGCTTGGCTGCCCCATTTTGGCTGAATGAATTTGCTCTTTCTCAATAAAAATGGGACTTGGATTTATTTTGCCTGGCTGGAAAGCAGGAGGGGTTTCTTTTCTTCACCATTTTGAGCGATCCAGGCCCAGTTATTTCCCAGCTTTTTCCCCCAAATTTAGCTGAGAGAGTTCAGCCAAGGGAGGCTGGTCACCAAAAGCTGCCTCCAGAGGATTTCATCACTTTTTAAACTCTCTGAACCACATTTTGGTGATGCCCATGCCTTTTTAAGACAAAAAAGACTCATTTGGGTGAGGGATTCCTGTGCCCAGAGCCTTCAGAGAGGCTCAAGAATGAACAAGGTGAGGATGAAGGTGGAGAAGAAGGGGGTGGACACACAAGACAGAGCTTAGAGTGGACAACAAAATAAAAACGTGCAACTTCAACGTGGACATGAATAATGTTGGCAAACTTATGTAGAAAAACATGGAAAGAGATCAATTTTTGCATTTGAGGCAGCAAATTTTGTCAGAGGAGAAGGGTGTTGGCAGATTAAAAAGAAGGGCTCCTGTTCAGGGCAGCAACTGTGAACTGGGTAGGTTTCTCCTTTCAGTATCTCCAGAAATCCCACAAAAACGGTTTTATATTCAGGTTTTTAACATAAAATGGTTTTTAACTCTGGAGCTGAGCTGCTGTCCTGGAAATCTGCTGGAGACGGGGGTTGGACACGACTGGGAAGTGCTGCCAGCACGGCAGGAGGTTTGGGGGCTCCATCTCCCATTTTATTTGCATTTTCAGCCCCAGCTCCTCATCAATTAGTCAGGAATCAGAGCTGACGTTTGTAAACAGTTTGGGTGGCAAACTGGAACTGGAATTTTGGAGAAAAACACGATTTGCAGGAGGCACCTCACCTACGCTGAGCTTCCAAAATTCGTCATCAATTAACACACGAGAGCTGCTATTTATAGGAATGTCCCATCCCATCCAGCCCCCTTAGGTTTGATGTTTTTCTTTTTAAATCCCTGGAAAACACGACATGAACAATCTCAGCTGTGCATTTCCCAGCGCTGCCGTCCTTCCCGAGCTGTTCCCGCAGAGAGCTCCGGATCAAATCCCGCCTGGAGGAGCCTCCCTTTGGATGCTTTTCACCCACATTTGCTCACATTCCCCCTGAAGGAACGAAAATCCTCCAAAAAAACCTCTCTGCCTTCCCAAATTCTCACTCTTTGCCACCCCAAGAGCAGCCCAGCTTTGCCGGATGGGATCGACGGATGGGATGGACTCCCAGCTCCAAGGAGATTTTAAGGAGCTGTAGATAATCCTGACTCCACCACATTTCCCGGGGATTTATCCATGCCAACAGCCCAGGGAAAACCCTGGAGCAGAGGGCAGGGCTGTGTGGAGCCCAGATCCCTGCAGAGGGCACAGCATCCCCACGGATGGGAGCGGGAAGGCCGGGAGCTGCTCCGCTCCCCCGCATTCCCGGGAATGGAGACGGGTTTCTATTTCAGTCCTTTGCCAGCAGCAAAACGACAAGAAACATTTCCTGTTTGTTTTTTTCCCCCTCTCGCTGCAATCAGGAGATGGCCAAATTAGCGTTGTCCTAATTAGCCCTCAGCAGGTGCCAAAGCCAGGAATGGCAAAGGAAGGAAGGAAGGACCCGTCAAGTTCAAGCCAAACAAAATCAAATCCATTGTTTGGCTCCAGGCAGGGAGGTTTTGGGTGAAAAAAGGGATATTTTGGACAATGGCACATGAGCAGTTTCTGATTTAGGGGGGTGTTCAGACAAAGTTTAGCCTCTGCTCACTGCTATTGTAAAAAATAATAATAATAATGATAATAATGATGATGATGATGAGCCTGCTTGCCGGATGAAGTTTTTCCTGAATAAAACCAGGCAATGGGAAGTCATTTCTTGGTCAGGAAGCACAAGGGCTTTTTCAGGCTCAAAAGGGGATGGAGGGGATGATGTAGAGCAGCTATTCCAGCCCACATTCCTGCAGCATCTTGTAGTGGTTTTTAATGGAATTATTTACCCCCATGGGATGAGGCACGATCCTGGTTTTCCTGTCCAGGAGAGCCATTTTACAGATGGATAACTGGGATGTCCTTAGAAGTTATTTATTGATATTAACCCAGGCAATCTCTGATAAATCAAGGACTTGAAGGGTTTAACCCAAACCTATCCATGGCCAGTGGGATTGTGGTGCCTTGGTCTTCCATGCTTTGGTTGGGGAATGTTGGGGATGGATCATCCCAAAATGCCAGTTTGGGATGGACAAGGACACAGCCATTTGGTGACTCCCCATCAGTTTACAGAATTATTTTGGGAAACTTTGACCAAACCCAGTGTGTGGATTCCTGTGGTTACTGATTCCTGAAATCATGGAATGATTTAGGTTGGAAAAGACCTCTAGGATGGAATCCAACCATTCCCAGCACTGCCAATGCCACCTATGTCCCCAGGGACACAGGGGACATGTCCCAATGCCACATCCACAGGGCTTTAAATCCCCCCAGGGATGGGGACTGCACCCCTGCCCTGGCAGCTCCTTCCAATGCCTGACCAATGTTTCAGGGAAGAAATTTTTCCTGATTTCCAATCTAAATCTCTGCTGGTGCAGCTTATGGCAATTTCCTCTCATCCTGAAATTCCTAAAGTGCCACAAGACCTGAATACCCAAATCCCAACAGAATCAATTCAAATAAAGCTGAATTCCTTGCAAAAGTTCAAATGAAGAATCTGAATTACTTTACCAGGGAGCAAAAGGCACATTCAGCCATTTGTTTTTAAAGAGGACACTTCAGACTCTCAGTGGCCAACTGGAGGTCACGTTTAATAATGGAATTATGGAATGGTTTGGGTTGGAAGGGACCATCCAGTGCCACCCCTGCAACTCCCCATATTCCACTGACCATTACTGCAGCTTTTTTATCCCTAGAAGGAAACACCCTTGACCACTTCAGCAGAAACAATTCAAGAAGCAACTCCTGACCACTGCTGGCAGAACAGATGTCTCAGGTTGGAAATGGGGGTGTGTGTTCTGTGCCCCTCTGTCAGAGCTGGGGCAGTTCTCTCTGTCCATGGGGCAGTTTCCTTTACCTCTCCCACAGCCAATCCTCCCTCCAGCAGATCTCTGCTCTCCATGGCCACTGAGTGTCCCTGCAGGGCTGATTCCTTTCAGACCAAGCCCAGCCCAAAGAGCAGGAATGCCCCGGGCTGTACCTGTAGGCCAGGGTGCAGGTGTCCTTGTACTCCTGCAGCTTCACACACACCATGCTGAGGAACTGGTCCGAGTAGGCGCTCAGGTCGTGCATGAGGTCCATCAGGTCCTGCACTGTCTTCTCCACGATCACCGTGCTCTGCGGAGGGGACAAAAACCCAGGTGTGAGCAGCAGCTTGGTGACGTTTACCTCAGCCCCCTCCTGCTTTGTTGATTTTTGCCACAAACGTGCAGCTGATGCTCTGCCAGCGGAGGATGAAGAAATGAGGGAAAGGAAAAACTGGGCAAGGAAAGGAGGAAAGGGGTTAAAGAGTTTGAACATCAGCTTGGAAAGTTTGGGTTTCTGAGCCACTTCCTGGAGTTCACCAGGTCTTTCCTTCGTTAGGTGAAACCTCAAAAGGCAAAAATGTGATTTTTAGCAGGACACACAGCCCCAAGTGCTGCTCCACGTCCTACAGATCCTGAAATTACCGAGGTCATTGTTACTGTGATATTTTCTGAAATATTCTTTTGCCAAGATTTTTTTTCCTTGGGAAGCTAAGAAGGATCAGAAAAGAATGAAAACAATAATTACATGATTGCTTTGGAATGTGATTTGGAAGTTGCTTATTAACAGGTGTATGGTTGATTGGTTTTGTGTGAATTGTTTTTACTTAATGACCAATCAAAGCTAGCTGTGTCAGACTCTTTGAGTCAGTCACGGGTTTTTATTATTTATTCTTGTTATGCTTTTTGATGTATTTTTTCCCCTATAGTTTAGTATAGTTTTAATATAATATAATATAATATAATATAATATAATATAATATAATATAATATAATATCTTTCTAAGATCATGGAGTTTGATTTATTCCTTCTTTCATCTTGAGACCCTCACAAACACAACAGGTAATTACTGAGGTAATTACTGAGGAAGAGACCTCCCAGACCTTTGATCAACCCTGGCACCCCAAGAGAGCCCAGAGTGACAGCAAACCCCGATGAGCAGGTTTGGTTCCCTCCAGGCTGCAGGAGGGACCATACATCCAACAATGTCCAAGATTTCAACAGCTCCGTAGGAATTCTGGGATTTCTGAGGCCCCCCAGGGTGGCTTGGCACACTTTGTATTTCCTTTGCCCACTGTGTTTGGTTTTGTTGCTGCAAACAAGGCCATAAATATCTAATAAATAATGTGGTGAGGGATTAAAGTCACCACTGATCCCTCAGGAATAAGAGAGGGAAGAAAATCCTCCCCAGCTCAGAAGCAACACAGAAGAGAAAAGCAATTCCTTTCCTTTTTGTGTGGATAATCTGATTTTGCCTTTTCCAGTAGGATTTCAGGGGTGGGAGGAGGGTGGGGTTCCCAGCAGAGCCATGGAATCAAGTGAGATCCTGCAGCGTCCCAGGAGCAGGAATCCCCCTGTGACCCCTCCTGGGCTGGACACAAAACCACTCCAGGAGGAACCAAACCTGGCCAGCCAATTTCAATTTCTGTTCCTAACTGCAGCTTTTAGAAAAAAACAACCTAAAAACCCACGATTGATGTTAAAACCAGAAAGTATTGTGGTTTTTATGGAGTTTTTCCCACTTGTTTTCCTCAACACCATTAAAATTCCAGCAAAGCTCCTGCCGGGATCTGGATTTTAGAATAAACCCTACTGACTTAAAGGGAGCACAAAGCTACTTGAATGATTAAAAAATAAATAAATACAGAAAAAGGAGAAGAAAGGGAATTACCACATGAAAGAAGGCACGGCCAGGTACATAATGGCCATTTCCCTGAGACATCTCAGCCTTCCCCAAGGCCCGCTGCCACCTCGGCAGGGGACACCCTGTCTGAGGAGCCCTGGGGACAGCTGCCTTGTCAGCTGGGGCTGCTCCAAGCCCCCAAAAATGAAAAGCACTCGCACGTCATCCCAGAGCCACCATCCCGGTGCCTCTGCCCCATCTGGACTCGTTAGCAGCAGACGGGTGTGATCAAAGATTAATTTGAGGCACTCCAATGGAGCCTGTTAAAAAATAAAATAAAATAAAATAAAATAAAATAAAATAAAATAAAATATGAATATATAAATTCCATTTATATTCTGGAGGTATTATTCCAACCGTTCCTTGGAGATTTCACTATTCCAGCCATTCCTTTGGGATTTCACTATTCTAACCATTCCTTTGGGATTTCACTATTCCAGCCGTTCCTTTGGGATTTCACTATTCCAACCATTCCTTTGGGATTTCACTATTCTAACCATTCCTTTGGGATTTCACTATTCCAGCCATTCCTTTGGGATTTAACTATTCCAGCCATTCCTTTGGGATTTCACTATTCCAGCCATTCCTTTGGGATTTCACTATTCCAACTGTTCCTTTGGGATTATTGCCCTGTGGAAGAGGGTTAAAAATTGCTGGAGAAACAGAGAACTGGAGATAAAATAACACAGATGTCTTTTTAAGGGTTCCTTAAAAACCCGATTTTAGGACAATAAAAGTGGTTTTCAACGAGTCCTCGGCAGGCAGAAATTCAAACCTCCAAAACTTTCAGCTTTGCACGGAATCAGAGAACAATTTGGGCTGGAAGAGGATTTAAATCCATCCAATGCCACCCCTGCCAGGGGCAGGGACATCTTCCATTGTCCCAGGTTATTCCAAGCCCTATCCAACCTGGCCTGGGACATTTCCAGGGATGAGAAATGCATAATTTCATTTTCTACCTCCTTGGTGAGGAGCACTTGGATTAGAGGAACAATCTTCCCCCTCGATTTTTTTTATATTTTAATTTTTTTTTGCAGAAATCGCAGCTTTTCCCATGCCTTGGGAGGGAGAACCTCCATTCCCTGGGGAAAGCAGACAAAAGATGGGAATATCCTGCTCAGAAATGTCTTCACCAAAACACAGCAGATGGAGGACGAGACCTTGGAACCAGAAAAGTCAATTTTTCCCAGATTATTGCCCATCACAAAATATCTCCTCGAGATGCCTTGGCAGAGGAAGGTACCAAATGAGAGTGAAAGGAAAAGAATTCATAAAGCCTGATTTAATTTTTAAGCTGGAGTTTAGCTGACCCCTCACAATTTTTGAGCACCGAGCAGGGCCCAGCTGTAATTAAAGCAGGAGAGGAGAAAGTTTTCGAAGCTCTTCAGGCTCAGTGCTGAGCCACAGCTCTGCATTTGGGACCATTCCCAAGGGACAAATTTAAATTTGTTAACCTCAAAGACCTGCCCATGTATTTAATAAATAAATATCTAATAAATATCAAGTGCTAATAAATATCAAGTGCTGTCAGTGCCTTGGAGGGCAGTGGGAAAGGGAGAGAAAAACTGGGACTTTTTGCCCAAATTTCTCCCAAAAATGGAAAAACTCGGACTAAATGAGCAGAGTCAGAGATGGGAACCACTGAAGCCTGAAAAGCAGGAGCTAGGGAGCCAGTTTGCCTGGAATTTTGGGATAAATGGGCTGTTTGGTGCTCTTTGGTGGCTCTAAAATAGCCAACACCAGCCCTGAGGCCCCGGGAGTGGGGATGGGAAGAGTTGGATCCATCAGGGAGCCAACCTGGAGCCCTATTCCAGCACCAACACTAAAATAAAGGAGAAAACAATGAAATAGAGGAGTGAAACCAACTAAATTCAGGTTTTTTTAGTTAACAGAGGAAAGAGGAGAATCTAAGTTCCCTGTTCCACTGATCAGTGGTCATCCCACGTGGAGTGGCAACACCCTTTTCCCAATTTTCTTTCTGGCCTGTGACATTGGAATCCTTTCCAAGCTCCTTCCAGGTTTTACAAAGGGCTGGAGTTTTCAGACTGCATCAATTCCATTCAAAATCCAGCAAAATCTCTTTTTACAGTCTCCAATCTGACAGCCTGCTTTCCTCTCCAGCCTTTTTCCAGGAAAATCCATTATTCCAGTATCAGTTTTTTGCCCATTTCTATGGTTAAACTACAACTTTGCTTCCCAAATCCTCCTAACTCCAAGGGATTATTTCTTTTTTTTCAATGCAGGTGATATTTTAATTTTTATGGGATTTATCCTGAGTGAATTCACCCCATGGATGTGAGCCCAGGGTCTGCTGGAATTCTCTCCCTGCTTTAAATGTGATGTTGCAGGAGCCAAATGAGTGCGCAAACAAGGTCTTGGATAAATCTTATTTACCTGGCACTGTGTGATCCAGGAAAGCTTTGCTCCAGTGAACTGGAATATTGATGAAGAGCAAAATGTACATTTGTTTTTTTAAAAAAAAAAAAAAAGAGAACACGAACCATAAAATCTGTATTACTGTGGCCATGCAGAAGAGTTTCCCTCTTTAAACACTCCATTCAATATTTGGGACACAAAGTTAACATTTCGTGGGGCCAGCCCTGCACGAGCCCAGTAAATGCAGAATAAATCAGCCCCTGTTGAAGCTCAGAGCTGCCACGAGGGTTTGCAAGGGTTCAAAAATAAATCAGCAGCTCTGTCATTTCAAATTCTAAATTCTACCCACAGAGCTGAAACACTCGTGGCTTTTCTGGAATATCAGAGGCCAAATCCCAAAGCTGGGGAAGAGGAAGCACAAGGATGGGCCGTGGGTGGGAGGGGGATTTTCATCACAATCTTTGTTAAATTGGAGATAAACTTCTGCTCCAGGTCGGGCTGCACTGCAAGGAAAAGCTTCCTTAGAAAGATTCCATGGAATGGTTTGGGTGGGAAGGTGCTGGAAGCCTGGCTGCTGAGAATTCCAGCCTCTCTGTGCTGCAGGCTCTGACCCCCAGGAGAACTCTGCACTGAGCTGAGGCCCTGGAGAAGCTTCCAGAATGGAATGGCAGAGCTGGGATTGTGGCTGTGCAGTTTGGAAAGAAGTGTGTGATAGCACAGGGTGGGAAACTCGGAGTTTAAGGGTTTAGGGTACAGGAATACACATAAAACAAGATGGGGGTTTGGGGCAGTGGCTGCTCCTTCTCCTCCACGGGTTTGGGTGGTTTTGTGTAATTGGATAAAAAAGTCCCCATTGTGGGCATGGGTGATTGGTTATTGGGTTAAAAGTGAAAATAATTTAGGTGTCATTTCTTAATTGGACAGTTTATCCTTAAAAGGCCTTGTAGAGAGAAAGATTTGACTCAATTTTTTTAGATTAGATTTGACTCAATTTTTTTAGTTTATTAGAATGAAGTGTTGTGGAACTCAGTTT